TGTTCATAAATGATGTGGCATTTTTATTTACGGCGTCATCGACTGTGGGAATCCATTCGCCGGAGTCTGAAATCGGTGGTGAGGAATGTTTTCAATGAAATTATAGTAGTTATTAAAATGTAAGAGAAATTACATATTCATTAAATAAATAACGAAAATAATTAATTTTTGTTGTTTTTTTATTTTATCTCACATACAAATTTTTTGAAAATATATATTAGGAAATATGTGCAATGATTTCACTTTTTGAGCTCTTAATCTATAGTATTCAAGCCTCATTAAGCCATCCACGTAGGTAGTCGCGTGAGATTCACTTCTTTTTTTTTTGGTCGATTCGTTTTTGGATTCATTTTTTATTATTTTTGGGTTGAACTATATTATAATAGGATAGTTTTAAGGCTCTTTAAGCCATCCGCGTAAGCAACCAAGTGAGACTTGCTTTTTTTTGTTTTTTTATTGTTCGTTTTTGCATCCATTTTTAAACTATTTTTAGTTTGAACTCGTTAAGCTTTAGGGTTTATCGAACTATTTGGATCTTTAAAACAATAAGTCATAAAAAAGACATAAAAACCTTACAAACAAAAAGCCCATATAATAATAACCCAAATAAAAATATCAAAAATAAATGATGGCTGCGTGGTTTGAACCAACAATCTTGCATGCTTAATTAGGCACCTTATACCACTTGGCTAAAGTATATTTCATTGTTTCTAATCATCTTACCAAGACTATAAGTTTTTTAAAAATATCTATGGGACCCATAAAACTGCTGACATGGCGCGTTGTGGAACCTAGAAAGTGTACTATTATAATATAGATTACTAGTGGTCGATCCTCATAGAATATATTTTTTATGTTTTATATTAAGAATCTATTTGATATGAGCTAAGTTAACCATAAAATTTAGTTTGTAATTAACATTATAGTTGTTTAATTGTGACAAGTTCAAATCATTGGATAAACAGTTAAGAATGAAAATCATATTTTTTAATTGTATTCGAGTTTTTGTAGTTGTGATGTTTTGTTTAATTAAGTGTGATTATTTTTACATATAATAAAATGTATTTTTTCTGAGCCAGTATTTTGATGAAAATAATATGTCAAGGTTAAAATGATAATGTATTATTTAGTGGCAAAGAATGTAAACGGTGTGGTCTAAAAAATAAAAGGTTATAGTTTTGTAGACATTGTTGTTTTGACTTTTAAATCGTTTTGTTTAGGATTTGTGATAATTGCAGAAAGTTACGGATTGGTTAACCCAAATATGATATCTCCTGAGAGTTACGGATTGGTTAACCCGAATATGATATCTCCTGAGATTTCTTTAATAAGGTCTTCGATGTTAGAGAATTGACGATTTATATTTATTTTGAAAAATAAATTTTAGAAGAAGTTGTTGAATTGTAGTGAAGGTCGCTAAAATTTTATATCCTTGTAAACGACACAAAATATTTATGTTTGGTTATGTGTTAACAAATGAAATGATTTATTGAGAATAGTAATTTAGTGGTAGCATTGTAGGTTAGCGTAGTTTGCTCGTAATACTTATATTTGAAACTTGAACATATTGTTACTTACTTTTTTTTTTCTATTACCGTGATGATTTGATTTAGAAAATATCAAACAGGTTATTGTCGTGGATTTCTGATTTATAGGATTAGTTTTGATCTATATATATTATAAATATATTAACATATATATTATATATTTAATTTCTAAGTTCAACAACTAATAGGATTATATTATTATATATTTAATATCTTTCAAAAATGAAAAGAAAATTATATTAAATTATATTATATTTTAACAACATAAAGGTAAAAAATAGTAATAGTTACAAAAATAAAATAAAATATTATTTTAAACATTTTTAACGCCATCAGTAAAACACTAAACTTTAAACCCTAAATTCTAAATCTTTGGGTAAACCCTCGAATAAATCCTAAATCAAAAACATTAAACACTAAATATTAAAAACACTAAATCCTTAATCCTAACACCTAAACCCTTGGATAAATTGTAAACCCTAAGTCTTATGGCTTATCTAAGGGTTTAGAGTTTAGTGGTTAGTATTTAAGATTTAGTGTTTTTAAATTTAGTGTTTAGAGTTTTTGATTTAGTGGTTAAGATTGATCCAAAGATCTATGGTTTATCTAAGATTTTAGAGTTTAGGATTTAAGATTTAGTGTTTTATTACGGGGTTAAAAATATTTAAAAAAAATATTTTTCTGCAATAATTATTATTTTTATATTTTTATTTAAAACATAATACATTTTGATAATATTTTATTTTTCCTAAAAAATATTCAATATATAATAATACAATCTTATTGATTGGTCATAAATCTAGAGGTTCATCCTAAAAATCTAGAATAACTATTTTCTCCCCATTGCTTGCAAAGATAAAAGAGGAAAAAAAATCTGATAAGAGATATATTATATATGGGTGAGATGGCTTATATGGAGGAAGGAGACTTGGAAGCAATTAGGCCTCAGCGTTTGGTGTCCCATTCTGTATCGGTTCGGGTGATTCGGATTTTTGGATTTTCAGTGTTAAGCTCAGAAGACCCATTCGGATTTTACTAATTATCAGATCGGGTTCGGTTCGGTTCTGTTCGGTTTGAATCAAATGTAACCAATGTTTAAAATCGTCCAAAATTATATTTTTTAAACCTCAAAAATTGAAAAATTTATTTTGAAAAATATATAAGTTATTTACAAATCTAACTAAAAATTAGTTAAACTATCTAAATTAACTAAAAATATCAAAATAACATATAAAATAAACTACAAAATCATTGGAATACTCTAAAATATCTAAATCACCTTAAGATATATAAAAATATTAACATATTTAGTTAATTTCAGATATCTTTGGATCCTAGTTTGGATTTCGTTTCGGTTCGGATTATAACCAAACTCCAAAGTACTAAACTCATAAGTTCCGTTCGGATATTTCTGTATAAGAGTTTGGATTCGGTATGATATTTATAAATAAATAACATATTAAATACTTTTCACTTGAATTAAGCGATTATACAATGATGTATGTGTATCATACTTGAAGCAAATGGTATTCCCTGATTAATTATTCAAATTTAAAGTCGAATAGCTGTTGATGTATATAGTAGTAATATTTTTTGCTAATTGTCCGGTAGAATTGATCCCGGAGCTCTAGCTGGAATTCAGGCCAATCAGAGCAGCTAGAGGTCCAATAAAGGCAGCGTTGATGTAAGTTGTGGGCTCTGTATGGGAGTAATCTGATCTTTTGTCGCTAAAATAGTCAGTTGAGTTAGGTCCGCCCACAATTGCCCCGGTATGGACATTCGGGTTTGGTTGAACAGAATTGTAGTATGAAAATCCTCCACCGCAGTCAATTTTCTCCGGTTTAGATTTGATAGACGGTAAAGATGAGCCTCTATGATGAAGCTGTGTTGGGTACTTGCTTCCGAATCCGACCATGTACGACATTTTCATTGGATTGCTTCCAAGGATATAATCCACCTATAAGTTAAACCGGTCGGTTAATAAAACGGAAACTGTTAAAAGAAAAACTGGACTTGAAGTCCTATAGGAGGGTAACTTATTCTTCACCTGTGATTTAGAGAAATTCTGAATTTGAGATACTGTGAACTTGGTTGATCCACACTGGATTGAACCGACTTGGGCTTGAGTTAGAGTTTTTGAGTAGTGAAACAAAACCGTTATTGCCGTTGTTACATATTGTAAGTTGATATTGTCTCTAGTAAACAAAAGTCCACCTGAATAACCAAAAGTACAGACCAACATAATTACAAAACTATAACGTCAACCGAAAATGAAAACAAATCAAACCAATTTATAGTTAATTTTTACCAGGAGTTGGCTTAATTTGCTGAGAACTACTTCCAGGCATCAATGCACAGACGAATGACTCAACATCACTCTTAAATTTTCCCAAGTCAGTTTTCCCTTTGTAAAACTCCTTAAGAAAATAAATCAACAGGAAAGGATTCGTTAAATTAAACAGAAAATATATCTGGTTACAGAATTTAACGAACTTGGTTTATATATAGTATATAGTTATATACTAACCGATGCGAGTAAAGCCTGAGCTCCGGCGAATTTATTGTCCCAGCTGAATTCATTCACGGCTTGGCTCCAATCTCGATTGCTTATGACATAGCTCATGTACTTACTTTCTCCTGTTGCTTTGTATAGCCAAGCCGCAGCCCATAATAACTCGTCCTATTTAGCACACAATCATTTGAAGTATATTTCAGTTAATTGCAAAAGAGATTTCATCTATATATAACATGAAACAATTCACATATTTTATTTGGAGGTTTTGAGATAACTCGGTATATCTATGTGTAATGGTTTGGTTCGGTCTAATTACCTTGTAGCTTGAGTATGAGCAGTAGAAAGGGCAAGATGCTTGATAAGAACCTCTGTACTGATCAGCAAATTCAAATAACTGCATAAAATAGCCAAAACCCATGTTAAACCAAATAACCAATCATACAGTATACACCTCATTGACTGAATGTCAGGATCATAAGATATTCTTTTGGGTTTAGTTTTGATACTCACAGATTTAGCATGGTTTAGTAGATTGGTTGAATAAATAGAGTCGATAGGTTTGAAAACAATTGCGGCAGAGGCAAGCGCGGCAGCGGCTTCACCGGCGGCTTCAGAGCCAGGGGAAGAAGAAGTTATCTTGTAGAGAGTTCTAGCTGTGTCCATATCTTCTGGCCTCTCCCAACAACTATGATCTGAATTTCCATCTCCTACCTTTTATGACAATTATAGAAAAACAGTTTTAAGAATTTAAGCAACCAAAACGAACTATGTGTTTACATAGGTAATAAAATTAATCTTGCATTTCTATATCTGCCGGCACATATTAACCTGAATACCGGTTATGATATGATTATACTTATGAGTTTGAAGAATAAAAATGGATTTACCTGTGTATACAGCGTGGTGGGAGAAGTATGAGCACGGAGGATAAAATCGGTTCCCCATTTGATAGAAGACTGAAGATAACCGAGTTGGTTTACGGATGAAATCGCACTTTGGTACTCAATTGCGGCCCAACTTAATAAGGTTGTGGTAAATGACATTGGCCACACAAATTTTACATTGTCACCGGCATCATAGTACCCTCCAATCAAATTCACCTGGATGATTAAAGTAGATATTCAATTTGTAATGATCAAAATTAAAACACAGGAAATTTGGTTAACAGAAAACATAATGCCAAAATCTTAATGAAATAAGTTTACATTATCCGGTTGACCGTCAGAGAGGGCAGAATCGGCTCGCCATGTGACACGTTGGTTCACCGGTAGTTTACCGGATCGTTGGCCTTCGAAGAACAAGATGGACTTGTTTAGTGCATCTCCATAATCAAGAGCTTCCAAGCTTTGGAAAGCCATACAAATACAAACTAGCATTATCCCCAAGAGTTTACCCATTATTATCACTATAATTGCCTTTTGCAAATGTTTCTTTCTTTGTAATGGATTTTGGTGTATCTTATTGCTGAAATTGTTCATGGGCGTATTTATAGATAGATGTCCCATGCAAGTAAAGTTGCGTACGTAATTCATATCATGCTCTGTTTTCACGTAAATTTAAGTTGGCTGCACTGTTTTTCTTATAAAGATTTGGTTACATGTTTTTACTGTTGTTAATAAAAAACAGTGCATGCAAATTGCCAACAAGAATTAAGTTTCGATGTATACGGAATCACAAAGGGTTTCAATATAGCAACTTGTTATTGTTGACATTTCAAATGATATTTTATTTGCTAGCCACCATACTTTCAACTTTTTCTTCTGTATCAAAGTTTATAGGTTTTTAGTTTACTTACGATTTTAATATATTTCCTATAAATATTACCAAAATTGAGATCGTAAACTCAGCTGATGAGTCTTTGTTTTCCAAAATAAGGCGGCTAGGCATGCTAAACCGTATTTTAAGAGAGAAGGTAGAGTTCTCCTAGAGCTGTGCAATCAGAGCTCCAATTAGGTTTCAGTTCAGGTTTATTTGATTTCCGGGTTCATGAGTATCAGATCTATTCGGATCTTATATATGTTCGGGTTCATGAGTATCAGATCTATTCGGATATTATATATGTTTGGGTTCATGAATTTGGTTCGGGTTTAATTGGGTTCGATTCAGGTTTAGTTACAAGCTAAAATCTTGTTGACCCAAAATAGTTTCGGTTTCGAATATTATTCGGGTTACTGATTCTAAAACATTAATTTATATTTGATTAAATTCAATATATTTACAATTCTTTCAATATAATTTTGTATCTTTGGTTTTCTTAAACTTTGTTATTGTCCTTCAAAATAGTTTTGGAAGATTCGTTTGTCAGCTATAGGCAACTTGGCATTGAACATACATGACAAAATCAAACAAATCATGATTTATAACAAACCAAAACTTTGTAAGAACAAGATTCATATATACGAAACATAAACAAAATAAAGTTAACAACCAACAACTCTATCAACATATGAAACACTATATAAACATGTAAAAACAATAACATTGTTTAAATTTCAAAAACAAATTGATTCATATTTGAAACTTCACATGCAATTGTAAAAAGATAAAAACATTAGTATTAACCAAATACTATATATATATATATATTAGATTTAAGTATTTAATTTAATTATTCATGTAATATTGACCAGTAATATCTTAGTGGGGGTTATTGGTTCTAGTATTTTATAGATTCAGAAATCCTTCTTGGATTTTGAAGTTTTTGACAAATCCATACATTTTAGAATCAAATAAGTAGATTTTAGAATCAATGAAATAGATTTCAAAATCAAAATAATTGAATTCTTATAAATCTGTCAAATGGATTTGTGATAAGCTTAAATTTGTAACAAAATAAAATATATATAAAACTACAACGTATGTTTTATCATTTTCTATATCATATGTTATTATGGTAACATAAAATTCATCACATATTTGTTGTTATTGCCATTTTGACTTGATTGACATGTTTTCTTTGTTGATCTTCAGTTCGAAGAATTTCTTTACCCTTGTTATTAACTTCTTTAAAATCTTCTTCGTCATCGGAATTTTTTTATTCAGAAAAATTATCGGTTCGTTAGAACTTTCGAAAAAACTACATAAACCAGCCCACACAAATATTCTATTTGTTTGTGTCTTATAAGGAAAAGGGGATGCACATTTAAAAATTAGAAATTGAGATTTGTATATACCAAAAATTCTTTCGATAACATTCTTCAGAAAAACATGATGATGGTTAAACAGCTCTTTTCATTTTATGGAATAGAATTTCCAGAAAACTCTTGTAGACCAAAACTTTTATGAGAATTTTTTTTTGCTAAATTTTTATATTAACGTCTGCGTGTACGTAAAGCTAGGTTAGAGATAGTTGGTTAATACAATTATATGTTGTACTACTACGTACACGTTACGATAACATAGAGATGGTGAAATATGATGGTTGTCTCAGACTCTCATATCAGTATTTTCTTATAGTTATTAGGGAAACATAGACAATATGTACGTAAAAATTGGACCAGAAACAAATATTAAGAAAATCAATAATACATATCTATCAAAATAACAAGGTTCAACTCAATATTTGCTTCTTTGTATTTTTAACTCATAAATTCACTCAAATCTAATTTTAAATCAAATCCTTAAGCAAATCATTATTATTGAATAACACCTGATTTTAAAATCTTTTTTAAAAATCATAGAACCAATAACAGTGAATTTGAATACAGATTTTAAAATCATAGAACTAATAACAATGAATTTGAATATAGAATTTAAAATCATAGAACCAATAACAGTATATTTGATTTGTATTTTCAAATCCACTAAAATATACAAACCAATAACACCCTCTTATTGTATTTTGGATACATATTAGAAAACGAGATAGGATCTAATTAAAATCAAGCAATCTTGTTCATGTTTGAGAACAACTGACTAACGAACAAGTGGTAGTGATTTCTTTTTTTTTTGTGAAGGCAAGTGGTTGTGATATGGGGATGCCGTGCCGTAGAAATGGCTGTATAATATATTCAGCACCCATTCCTCAAAACGTCAGTGTAGATTTTGCCGTTATAAAAAAAAATTGCCGTTAGGTTTTGTTTTCCTTTCAGTTGTCATAAACTTAATTATTTAATAGATTCATCCCTTTTTACGTGCAAGCCTATTACGGAAATTTCTTGCTCGTTTGTTCATCGTATGGTTTTTCTCTCATCATACTTGTTTTCTAAGGAAAAAAAAAGGAACAAGGGATCGTCCATCGAAATATTGAACGTATTAGTTCATTTAAATCAGTTATACATATGCTATATAGTTATCCTAGACTGGATTTTTCTAACTAACTCACGATGGTGATTGACGTTATCTGCATGGTTTTATAAAACCACTACCGTGTACAGATTATACTATTTTAATCCTTTTTGGAAAAAAATTTATACAATATAAGTTTTGTGGTTCTAAATGAAAGAAACCACCAACATCTCCATAAAAATTTGTATACATTTAAACAGTAGACCCACATTGTGTTTTCAACTTAATTGATAGAATTAGAGAATTAATTACTAATAGTGAACGAACATTTGAACATAAAGTTAAGGTGTTGGAAACTCACAGTTGTAACATAAGACATTGGTCCAAACAGCATCAATAGTTTTTTATCTACCCACATTGAGAAACAGACAAACAAATTTGGTATGGACTAATCACAAGTTTTCTGGGGTTTTAAGAGCACCCGCAACAATGATCCTTAGGAAAAATCCTTAGGAAAAATGAAAAGGGGTATTTCGGATTATATAGGGATATTTCAGATTTTTTCTTTACAAATAGAAAAACTGACCATTCACAGGCCGCCACGTGTACAGTGGAGCCCGCGAATAGTGTAAGGATCAATCCTTAAATAAGAATTTTAAGGATAGAATCTTAACTATTCATGGGACCTACTGATTATAAAATTAATATTTCTCTAAGGATTTTCCCTAAGGACCCATGGTTGTGGATGCTCTAAGAACTGTCAATGAAAGATTTGACAACTTTTTATTGATTTTAGTTATTATGAGAGAAGAAGGAAGTGCCTTATATAAGAAAAATTGTGGCCTCAATGTTTGATATCTACTTTTGAATGATTATGGAAATTTACTTTTTACTATGACATTTTTTGCTATTTTAATTTTAGGGGATTAAGAAAAAAAAATACTTTTAGGGAATTAAGAAAAATTAAATATAAAAATAACAGTATTTTTTTGTTAATATTACTATTTTTCTTTTTCTTTTCCATTTTACCATAATAGCTAGCATTTTTAAGTAAGTTGTAAAATGTTAATATTTATTAGTTTAAAGATTTTTTTTGGTTTTATTTTACAGTAATTTTTTTTCTTTAAAAATTTGTGTTTGTTATTTTAGCTATTTCAACATTAATTGACCATTTTATTTTGGTATAAAATGTATTTTTAGATTTTATTACTGAAGAAGATATATTATTTTTTTATTTTCCATTTAATATAATAGTTAGTATTTATTTTAAGTAAAAATTTCAATGTTAATATTTATTTTGTTAGTTTAAATTTTATATTTTTGGAAATATTTATATTTTTAAAAATAAGAAACTAGAAAGATGATTGGTCATATTTTGACTAGAGATTTTAAATTTTATGTGGACGTTGTCAATGACTTACAGCCTCAATTTTTATATAATACAGATTATTACATCTTGACGATGCTTTGATTTTCCCTTATATTGCTACATCCAAAATCTCCTTAAAAAAGTGATGAAGTAGACTAAAATATGAATAAAAGAGAGAGAAAAATGCAAATCAATTAGACTGAAATTATACAGAAAATGAACAAAGTGGTGGTAGTGATCCGAAAGAATTTTGGGATTCTTTTATTTTTGCAGGTTAAACTGTAAAGATTTTCTTTTGTTGGTTAAAGTTTTTATTTTTACATTTATCTAACTGCTCAATATTTTCATTATTGTATTTAGTTAGTTTTATTTTTGATTTTCATAATAATATGAGAAAATAACTAGAATAGCACTAAAATTTTTTGGTCACAAATATAGCACTTAAGAATAAAAATGACCAAAATAACATTTAATGTTTTATCAAAATAAATAAATATACACATATATCTCAATGATAAATTAAATTAGACATTAGGGTTTAGAGTTAAGGGATGAGATTTAGGGTTTAGGGTTTAAGGTTTAGAGTTTAGGGTTTAGGGTTTATGGTTAAGAATTTAGGTTTTAGGGTTTAGAGTTGGGAGTGAGCTTTTGGGGATAAGATTTCAATTTTTTAAAAATAAAATTTTTTAAAAAAATTTCAAAAGATAAAATACTATTTTGGTTATTTTAATTTTTGAATGTTATTTTTGTGACATAAATTTAGAAATATGTTATTTTGGAGATTTACCCTAATAATATTGGTTGAGTGGTTTAGTGTATAAAGGATTGATAATTAATGAAACTTAATTTTGAAGTGAAAAGTTGTCCTTGTAACAAGCCCAGACGTTGTGAGACAGACAACAACTTATACACGGTCAAATAGGCCTATATCGGACTTATGAGGTTGTTAAATGCGAGCGGCCCATTTAGTAAATAGCCCATAATCAAAGCAGCGATGACCATGGGTATTAAACCCCTGAAAACCCTAGCTTGAACTTGTGCGGAGAGCGAGTTTGTGTTTTTCAGCATTCGGTCAGTATAGGTTTAGGGTTTTAGTTGTCTCCTCCCAAAACAAATGGCTATGTATCTTCTGTACGAGTCTTCTTCTGGTTATGGCCTCTTTGAGGCGCACGGTCTTGATGAGATTGGACAGAACACAGAGGCCGTCCGTAGCTCTGTCACGGACCTCAGTCGCTTTGGCCGTGTTGTCCAGCTTACCGCTTTTCACCCCTTTGAGTCTGCGCTCGATGCCCTCAACCAAGTTAACGCCGTCTCTGAAGGTATCTTTATTGTCACGTTGTGTTGTTTCTGGGAACTCACTCTGCCTTGATTTTTTTAGATATACTGTGTGCATCTATATATATTAGGATACTCTGCTTCCTGTTGATGTTGAAATTTGTTTTTTGTTGTTTTACAATCTTTACATAGCAAAAGCTTTGAAATTTTTTTTTTAAAATGGTTTGTTGGTGTTGAGCTTGTCTCTTTTTTTATGAAAGTGTTGACCTTTTTTTTGTGGCAGGGGTTATGACTGATGAGCTAAGAAGTTTCCTGGAGTTGAATCTTCCTAAAGTCAAAGAAGGCAAGAAACCCAAGTTCAGTTTAGGAACCTCTGAGCCTAAACTCGGTTCTCATATCTTGGAAGCCACTAAAATCCCCTGCCAGAGCAATGAGTTCGTTCTTGAGCTTCTCCGTGGTGTGCGTCTGCATTTTGACAGGTTCATCAAGGACCTAAAGGTGTGTCATCTTTCTTTTTTTTTTTTTGTATTTTTACATATGCCTTGTGTGTACTCATGAATGTATTTATTGAATGAAGCCTGGTGATCTGGAAAAATCTCAACTTGGGTTAGCTCACAGCTACAGCAGAGCCAAGGTCAAGTTCAATGTTAACCGAGTGGATAACATGGTTATTCAGGCTATTTTCCTCCTTGACACCCTTGATAAGGATATTAATTCCTTTGCCATGAGAGTCAGGTACGTCTTACTCAAGCTATGTGTACTTTCAACTTACATTTGATTAAATATTGGTAGATGAACACTGTTTATGATGTTGTTACAGGGAATGGTATTCGTGGCACTTCCCCGAGCTAGTGAAGATAGTCAATGACAACTATCTTTACGCCCGTGTTTCAAAGATGATTGATGACAAGTCAAAACTCACTGAAGACCACATCCCCATGCTTACTGAAGTTTTGGGGGATGAAGATAAAGCAAAGGAAGTCGTCGAAGCTGGAAAAGCATCCATGGGTAAGTCTTTTATTGAGCGTGATTAGTTGTTGTTTATAATCTCTCCTGATCTGAGACCTTTTATTTTCTTCCCTCTGCACAGGCCAGGATTTATCACCGCTTGACTTGATCAACGTACAGACCTTTGCTAAGAAAGTTATGGACCTCGCTGACTACAGGAAGAAGCTCTATGATTACCTTGTTGCTAAGATGAGCGACATTGCCCCTAATCTCGCGGCCTTGATTGGAGATATGGTCGGTGCCCGTCTGATTTCACATGCTGGAAGTCTGACTAACCTTGCTAAGTGCCCATCTTCCACCCTCCAGATTCTTGGAGCCGAGAAGGCACTTTTCAGGTGCGTTATCATAGAGCTGCCCTTATGTTTTCTTTAACTTTGATTTAGTGCTAGCAGCGAGTGACATTTGAGAACTGCTGTGGTGTTTTCAGGGCTCTTAAAACACGAGGAAACACACCTAAGTATGGGTTGATCTTCCATTCTTCCTTCATTGGCCGAGCATCTGCTAAAAACAAGGGCCGTATCGCTCGTTACCTTGCAAACAAGTGCTCTATAGCGTCCCGTATTGATTGTTTTGCTGGTAAGAAAATCTGAAAAAAGATATTTTAGTATTTTGAGGAATTTTGTAAAGAATGTGCTCTGATTGGTTTTGTTGTCCTGATGCAGATGGTGCAACAACGGCATTTGGTGAGAAGCTTCGGGAACAAGTTGAGGAAAGGCTGGACTTTTATGACAAGGGTGTTGCTCCACGTAAGAACGTTGATGTGATGAAGGAGGTGATAGAGAATCTGCAAAACAAAGGTATTATCTTGATATTTAGTTGCCATTATACAAATTCCTATTTTGGTAGTGGGGTCAGTTGTTAATCGGTGCTCCTCCTTGTAGATGAGGAAGGCAAAGAGACAGTGGAGGCCTCAGGAAAGAAGAGCAAGAAGAAGAAGGCAAAGGGTGAAGAAGAGGAGGCAGTGAATGAGGAGAAGTCAGAGAAAAAGAAGAAGAAAGAGAAGAGGAAGATGGAGACAGAAGAGGAGACTGAGAAATCAGAGAAGAAGAAAAAGAAGAGTAAGGCTGGAGGAGACGAGGAGACTGATGATGGTCACAGCAAGAAGAAATCGAAGAAGAAGAAGTCTCAAGAGTGAGGATGACGACGAATAGGGGAATGATGCAACGTACGAACCCTGTTTTCTGTTTTTTTTTAGCTAAATGTTTTTTTGTTGTGTTTCTTAGTAAACTCTGCCCTAGTGAATCTGTGTTCTATTCTGAAAACGATTTGATAACAACTTATGTTTGTCCATCATTTTAGGATTATGTGCTCTACAGGTTTTGAAGTCCCGCTATCTCATGAGAATCAATTGTGTTTTTGTTGTTCTCATATTGAGAAAACAGAAGATGTTATCTGCGTTTCATAATGTTCTACTTCATTATTAGAAAAAATACTTACCTTGCCTAAAAGTTTCATTAAAAAACAAGTGGGAGAAAAAAGTAGTCAGCGTGTATGATGACCAACTGTGTTACCACTAATTAGCAAGAGAAGTGGTTGAGTGTATGTAGCTTTTAGCGTCTTTTTTTCATCAGGATAAATACTTTCATTCATCAAATCTGTACAAATCCTTACATCAAAAACCATCATTAAAGAAGAGTCACCAAAAACCACCATTGTTTCGGATCTAGCTTTTAGATATGTTGGTTAAATTGCAAAAAAAAAAAAAAGCTATGTTAGTTAAATTTAAAAAAGAAAACATTCATGAAATAAATTGACGACGCTTACAGCTGACACTGTCACTCAATGAGTGTCCTATGTGTCATACTAGATTAATTTTTAAAACAATCAATTACAAAATTACACTTAATATTAAACATATTTATCTATGCGACTACATAAATCACAACAACGTATCAATAAAATTTACAATATATTGTTTATATATATAACACAAAGTTCTAAAAATCGGTTTAGGCAGTGCGCCCGCCTAAACAGCAACTTGGTCATTTCTGAAACGATTATTTCTGATCATACGACTTAAATCGGTTTAAATTGTTGTAAATCGATTAAAATCGCATGAAATGGATCTAAATTAGTATAAATATGTTAATGTTAAGCAATAATATTAGTATAAACCCATAAATTTGTATAGTTTCTTCTGTTTTGTACTTTTGATTTTAATTATATATTATAGTTTTATAATTAAACCTAAAAATTAAAATATCTAATATAAATGTAGTGTATATATATATATATCTATAATTCGTTAGTCCCCAAATAATTTGTCTAGACCCCTGGCTAGCAATTTCTTGAACATTGTTATAGCGTGATTTAGAAGAAAAAAACTTTGCTAAACAAGAAAATAAATATATTTTCAAAAAAGTAATTGTTATTTAAAATTTTATATAAGTTTGATAACCCAGAAGATATGAACACTAATTTAATTTTCTCTTCTTAGGACTATATTTTGATCAAATTATTAAAAAAAGAATATTTTTTTGATTAACACAAATCGATGGAAAGATAACATATACTAGGAGGTTATCCTCAAATTTGCGGATACAAATAGTTTTAATTCTTAATCTAATATAATATTTTTATGTTTTGGCATGTAATAGTATATTTTGATATTTTAAAATTGAAAGTAAACTTTTGGTGGATAAATGTTTAATAAAAATATTTATTTATTAATATCTTTTAGAAACTTATATATGATTTACGTAGTATTTTATTAGATTTTCTACATCTTTTACGAAAAAGATATTTCACTAGATTTACTTTTATCAACAATTATATATGGCTAATTAAGATCTCGTCCATTAAGAAGAAACTAGGTGTTTGCCCGTAATTTGCGGGTAGTCATATTACATGAAAAATACATATTATATTTATGTTGTTATAATTTTTGAATAATAATTGGAAATTTTAAATTTTAATTTTAAATTTCAAATAATTAGATAATCCAAATTTCAATATATATATTCAGAAAGATCGTGAGATTTAAAATAGTTGAACAACATAAACATTAGTCATTCAAAATCTCTCTTTTACAAAAAAAAAATATTACAATTAGTTCAGATAATTGGTTGTAGAATTATTTTTTATTTATTTTAACACGTGAAAAAATAGTTGTAGAACTGGTCATTTTTATTGATCTTCATTACTCAATTTATATTCACGTTTTTAAAACACATAAAACTAATTAAGTCAGATTTATAATAACACAAAAATACATGTATTTCAACAAACAAATAAAATTAAATACATAAGAATATAAAAGAACCAAGAGCACAATAAACTTATTTTATTATTCTTCTCTCATGTTTTTATTAAGAGAAATTTCTTAGCCTAGACCTAAAAATTTGTTTGTCACAAATATAGACTTTAAAAATAAAAATAACCAAAATAGACTTAAATGCTATATCTAAAATAAGTAAATATACACTTATACTCTTTGAGTTAACTAATTATAGATTTTTTTTTGTTTAGAGTTGAAGAGTAGAGATTTGGGGGTATAATTTCAAATATTAACAAAAAAAAACTTAAAATTTTCAAAATACATTTTAGTTTTTAAAGTCTATTTTTGTGTATCTCGCATAAATAGTTTATAAACTCATTTATAACCTTATATAAATGAGGAGGTTTTTAAAATCTAAGAAAGGGGAAAAATCATTTAGACACATTGCCTACCATCTAGGCACATCGTCAATTATTTAAGCGCATTGCCTATATTATGGACAATCATCTACGCAGCTTTTCACCAAAGTTGAACGACCTAACTTTCTCTCATAAACCCTATTCTAGTGACATACATGTCTTGTAATAAACTACAATTGGTTTGATCACAATTCAAAAGATGCATAGACATCATTTAACCAGATTCAACCATAACAGATAAAAGATTTTTTTTTATGTTTATTCGCTTAATTCTGATTTCATTACAAATACTTATCCTAAGCGCATGTTTATTTGAACTCTTAGGATGAAGTTTTTGATTCATGATTTAACATTTTTTTTTTTTTTTGTTTCTTTTACACTTTTTGATTAATAAACATTTCTTTTATCTCTTGTTTAGGAGTGGTTTTAGTTTTTCTTAATTAAAAACTAAGAAATGTCAATCCCACCTAAAAATTCTCCAATAAATATGGCATAAGTTTACCATCAAAATAACTGAAAATATTACACCCAAAGACAGATTTAAGTTTTTATTAACATAATAGGGCAGTTTTCACTACTGAGGTAGTTTTTCTTAACTAAACATATTTTTTCTGCTTTAATCTAACTAAATAAATATAAAAATCTTTATTTCTCCTCAAGAAAAAAACAGTAGGTCCCATATATCTTCTTCTTCGTTCCTTTCCTCCTGAGTTTTCTTGTTCTTTTGTAAAATGAATATTGATTTTCTATATTAGAATTTTCAAAAAATATGTTTATAATCAATATATTTATTAACTAATCTATCATTGGAGATATGTTAAGCTAACTAAATAAATATAAAAATCTTTATTTCTCCTCAAGAAAAAAACAGTAGGTCCCATATATCTTCTTCTTCGTTCCATTCCTCCTGAGTTTTTTTGTTCTTTTGTAAAATGAATATTGATTTTCCATATTAGAATTTTCAAAAAATATGTTTATAATCAATATATTTATTAACTAATCTATCATTGGAGATATGTTAAGCTATATCTCTGATGGTGGTATAATCATGATGTACAAAAACTCTATCTTTCAATGAATACATCTCTGCTTCGAACTCTAAGACAAGATTTAAAATTTTGGCACATATACTGAAGCTTCAGAGTTATCATCACCGTGCCCTTTTTGTCACAGCCACCAGCTCTAAAAAGCTCGACGACAACAATGGTGAACTTTCGCATTTTTAAAATTTTGGTCCCTCATCTTTTGTTTACTTTATTTTTGACCCAATACTTTTATTTGTGAAGAAATCTGTTATATTTTCTTCTAAACTTCTAAACTTTTGTTTTGTTATGATTAAGAGTATCAACCTTAATAGAAACATTTCTTTTGTTATGGTTAAGTATTTGCTTTGTTATGGTTAAGAGTATCAACATTAAAACAAAAATAACATTTGGGGTTAGATGAAAAGGTGATGACGTTTACGGACACTAACTTCTTAAAATCTATGTAGATACTATTTTATACGATGTACACATAGATGTTTGTATTTCGGTAATACATATGGATAATAAAACATCAGAAAACATATGTTTGTAATGAAATGGATAAAGATATGCCCATGTCATATAATTTTTTTTTTTGGTAATGGTATCAAGTATGCATACTTGGTAGATGGACCATTTAAATCAAGAATTTTATTCTTCAGTGTTTGAAATACCTTTGTATATATGTACACCAAAAATATTAAAGTTTGTATATGTGTACACCAAAAACATTACATACACAACAACGATTGTACACATATACACACATATAACAAAGTTAATGTAAAAAACAATATCGAACACCTATAGTATCAATAAAATTAGCATTATTCATGAACATGAAAACCAATTTGTTCACGTAAACTACGCATCCAAAATCCATGTACCAATGTACATGTTATTATTGTAAAATCTTGTACATATGCATCATTGTACATTTGAATTTATAAATTTTTGTACACCATGATATGTACATATATATATATATATATTCAAGAATCATTGTGCGTAGGAATCACACTAAAATAATATTGATAAATATTTTTAAATGGAATGAAGATATCATGTCTATCATTGAATTTTTTTTTTTTCAGTTTCAGCTTAAAATAAGCATTTTTTTTTAATTTCAGCTAAAATAATCATTTTTCAAACTAAAATAAGTTTATGGTTAAGTAACAAAATAAGTTTTATGGTTTATGACCCAAAATACAATATATGGTTTTGATTTTTTTTCCCATTGTGTACATGTGACTCATTACCAAATACACTAGTGTACACATGAAATATTGTACACGTAGATAAAGAAATTATGTATACATAGTGTGATATACATATGACATTTATACGAATATTATTAGAAATAACATACACAAGAAATGATTTTATGATATTTATCATCAAATTTACCTCATTTTAATCATTTCTAAGATGCATTTATATATGAACTTTTGGAAGTATGGACCAAATAAAAAGAATTTATTTGAATATCATGAATATATTTGGTAGAAATAAAACGGTAGGGAACAAATATTGTAAAATTGAAATATTTTTTTGGTCTGGATTTGCATAATTAAAAGTTCCAGGTCAAATTCGTGGATGAATTTGAGAAAAAAATAGAAACTTGAGACAAATTAGAAAAGGAACAAGAGCCGGAGGACCATATGTGCAAA